TGTTGAATCATACCCTACGTGTAACAGCAGCAAATTATATCGGATATAATTAACATTCAGACACATTTATCCACATCTATTCACATTATCTTTCTTCGTACACGATAACGTTCTCATTTATAACAACGATCATCGTACAAGATCATATCTAAGTTAAGCGATAAGCAATAGAGATTCATAATTGACATATAAATATTAATACCTAAGTACATTTCTTCATAGCTCGATTAAAAGGAGAAAACAAAACAGGAAATATAATAAACTGTGAAAAATAAAATAATATATCATTTAAATAAAAACACAACATCTATGTACACGAGATAATAAAAATTTCCGAGCTTTCATAAAAAGGAAAAAATATTTACACAAAAGAATCCGTTTCTCGTTTGCCATGAAGTGGTCTCGAACTTACAGATATGATATTATACATATTTCTAGGCGTTTGAGACTTTGTCGAGGTATCGACCAACGTTTTCCAAGTGTAAATGCTAAATAAAAATTAAACGCTGTCTTCGTTCGCGAAATTATCCAACAATCTTGCATTCCACCATGAACAAACTGCTCTCGTAAGGGAAGAGAAAACGGAATTCCTTGGTGGTTAATAATGAGTCCTAAAATAGGTCCGTCCCCTCGTCGACAAGCACAATCATCTAAAGAGATAGCAGACAAAAGACAAACGTAAAGTACTAAACACAAAGAGGAACAAAGTGTTATTACCAGAATGCATGCGTCTCTAACGGATGCAATTTACCACTTACATATGAACTTGAACGAAGATGCGTTCGATATGATTACGTAAGTATTTATACATGCGAACATTAAAAATTATATCGGAGCACGTGGGTGAACGATTGCGTAACGATTGTTCACTGAACCAAGGAGATAATCTATTTATGAAGAGAATAACAGCGGCACGCATTGCGAGAGGAATATCGAATCGAGGAAGAAGGTGAAAATGAGTGAACTGTACAAGAGTGCGACACATAATAGAAAACGACTTAACAAGACATTACCGTGGTCAATACACGGGAAAGAATTGCTTAATATAGCGAAACTACGATAAACGCGAAGACAGTTTACAACGTAGTTTTAAATGATCACTTACTACTAATATTTACAAAAAGATCATCGTACACGTTCCTGAAGATTTGTCCCGTTGTCGAAACACAAAGAAACCACCTTCCGCAACTTTCGTTACACAGACATCACTCGACGCTTATTATTCGCTGGAAATAAATATCTTTCAGATGCATCGACATCGCGTTAAGATGTCGTAATCAAAGACCATTCATACAAAACCTATTTATCGTATCCACAGAAAGTAATGCGTGCCTGAGAGGTCTTATCTCCTCAAAATCCTCATATTTATAGAGATAAAGCTTAGACGATAGCCTTATAGTTGTCCTAGGACAGTTACGAATAATCAATAAGATATGATCCATTAGACAAAACACGAAGTATAATTGTACACACGTCGGGTTATCTCATTCGTAACAATCGTCTGGTAATCGCTTAAAGATTTTTGATAACACACCCTCCATACTGAAACAGGAAAACACATGAGGAATAAGTTTGTGCTGGGGTCGACTGCGTATAAAACCAAAATGCTTTCAAAATTGCTAGATCTGAAGCAATACAACCTGCGCTACACCCGGCGTATCTAGACATAACGATATACGTATACTACAGATGATGCGAAACGTTGACACACAGGGTTCTAATAGAATCGCAGTGATTTGCTTAGAGTTGAAAGTTATGATATCGAACAATATCGAATAATACAATCGATATCATACCGGTTGAAAAGATAGATAAATAAGAAAAAATTTAGCAAACATTTCTATAGGAAATTTAAAAAGGAACAAATAAATCTTCGAAGTTGAAGAAATATGTCAAAAGGATTAAGGTGCGGATACTAATGTTCTACATCGAGTACCATAGAACTTATTAGACCACATGCTTTTAAGAAGAATAACCAAAGACAAGATCATTATAATGTTAGTAACCGCGTCGCCGTTGTCTACGTTCCGGTGTGTATATACGTGTGTGGGTAGAACACGAGCCAAAATTGAGCGATTTGAAAGCACGTCTCGTCCCGGTCGCGCAAATCCTCGCCAAAAAGTTCGAGCTTCTTCGTCCAAACTGAGCCTATCCTTGTTTTTATTTTCCCAACGCTGCAGCATGCACGAGTGAACGACGTGCACATGTATGATCCAAGCAGGGAAGAACACATATCCTAGAAGTCACGAACGCGACAAAAAAGGACATACTGTCTTGTCTGTATAGTTATTTGTGCCTGCGTATTGCCGTGACGCGCTCGTTTGCTGCAAGAGTGACGGGAATCCACGTTTTCTTTTTCAAGCTTCTAGCTTATGGATCAATTCATCATGGGCACACTTCCATTAATCGATAGACAAGCAGGTTTCATTCTGAGAAACCACGTGTATGGCCATTAATTATGTTCTTGTTGAGAGATAATTTTGAAGAGAGCTCTGCTGGAAAAAGAGAGATGAAAGGAAAAAAAGTCGTGTCACTCCTATCGCGAATGTGCGATATGCAGATACGAGCGCACTCAAAGCACGCGGAAAAGTAAGCCTGGTAATGTAATTTGACTTGTGTTACCCGTTATGTTTTCCCTTCCCCGTTCAGCCTTTCTCTTTCTAGCTGCGACTTCAATCGTTAAGTTTCGTCTGATTTGGAAAGAGAACAAAGTTGGACAAAACTGGAAACCGCAGTAGTGGCCCGATGTTACCGCAACGTGGACCATAGATTTATCTCCCTGCTTCACACTCTCTTTCCCTTTCTCGCTTTA